TATTGTTCCTGTTCATCGATAAAATAAGATAACTGGCATATAATAATCTCAAAATGTTCATTTTCAAGGTGAGGGTTAATGGCCAAACTGTGTTATGGAGGCCTCATTTTGACAACAAAGGTTGCACATGTAACCTGGGGATTTTAGCAACTAAAAAAGGGTCAGCATCATCTCCCATAGTGGCCTAATACGTTTGGTCAAGATTCTGTTTACATAACTAAGTGGAATAGAGTTCTGAAATTTTTTTGGTGGTGTTTTTCAATGCAAGTGATGTGAAATTAACTCAAGGGAAGCATTTCATATAAATATTTTTGGCATTTTGTGTACCAGTACACGAGGACAGAACTTTCCAGAAGGGCCGAAACATTTGGGAAATGAGGAAATCTACACTAGAAGCCATTGGGAGCTTGATTTGGTTTGAATGTACAACTAATTTTGGACAACACATGTAAAGTAACACATAGCTGAGCATAGGTTTCTATCATTCATTAGGGCACAAAGTTCTATATTCAGTTGGTGAGAGAAAAATGCGTACTCTATTGTATTTGGGTTTTGCGGGACTGTATTTTCAATAAAGAACACAGAAAAATTTAGTTGAGGCAGGTGAATATGGAGTTACAAATGGAAGAATCTAGGGAAAAAAGATTGGTGCATAAGAAGATCAGAACACAAACAATATTTTAATGAATCATATGTTAGGTAGTACTCTGAAGTAACATTACATTAAAACTGCTACTAATTTTTAACCCAATAAGATTCACAATTTGACCTTGGAAGTTTCATTTAACAGAAAGTTCAATGGAGGAAGTGTCACCATAATAGATTTCAGGAACAGTAATCAGAGACATGACTTAAACACAACAGAGTCCAACGTACAGGCAAGTGCATGATGGTATCATGATTGAAAGTACCAGAATCTTTCAAGTTTTCTTATTATTGATATTGTTATTTCATGCCAGTTTGTTTCCCAAATTCAAACTTTGTGGAGACGTGAAATGAAAAGGTGAACTTGACATCATCATGTAAATGGTCAACTTGACATGCTATCAAAATTTGTCCTTCAGCTCAAATCTTACTCAGGAATGAAATTTTGTCAGTGTCTGTCAATATACCTAAGAAATTCAAGCTTTTGTTTATTTTGGTCAGCCACTATGTATATCAATCCGCGCAACCTACTTCGTGTAAATCTGATTGGTTTCTTGTGTGATCTACTGTTGCTGAGCCTACCAGTGGTTTACATTTATAATTGAGTAGTTACTTTTGCACTAGTGATACATAAAAAAAAACACCTAGCTGTTTTCAGCCAATCAAGAGTGTAATTTTTCATGTATATCAGTATTGTGATGAATTAACCAAAACCAAACAAGTAACTGAAAAGGAGTTGTCGTCTACCGAGTAAAGGCCTAATACACTTGTATTGTTACCAATTTTAAATATCAATGTTCATCTGAACCATTATGAAGAGAATTTAGAAGACTGCTAACTTACAGGAAGTCAAGAAATGTTAAGGTCTGAATAATTCTAGGTATTACTTGGAAAACAATAATAATCACATTTCAGTTGTAACATTAAACTACTTATAGGCCCCTATAAGCAATGGAATATAAGTATGGTAGAAAATCATTTGTGAAACCCCAAACATCACATCATAGTTAATAGAGGGAGCTCTATTAACTATGATCACATCATTCCACATTTTGTGTTATCCAAAAACTTGTTTCAATACTGGCAAGTAAAATATTTTTAAATACTACATCATAAGCATTAAACTCCAAAAATGATCCTTAAAACCTGATAAGGTATCAGTCCTTTGTTTTTACGAAATTATCACAAAAGCCAATCCTTTACGGGATTGTACAATCGAGATTCCCATACTTACTTTTGACGTTTTGAAATATGCCTCCGTGAATTTTCAACAGTGCAAGGAGAATGCAACTACATACAACTTATTTCACTTTATGGCGCTTCCAGGAGGCTTCAGACAGGTTCAAACTCTTTCAGAGACTCAGTGGTGCAACCTGCACCGACAGATCAAACCGATAGTTGTTGGCTTGGGAGATTGCAATGACTCCTTACAGTGTAGTACAACTCGTACCGAAGATTCAAGCTGATAAATGTTGTCTTTTTAAGAGCGTAAAAGCTCTTGTACAAACCGGATCTGGGTGTGTTGGCTTGTGTAAGGAGAACTAACTCGTCAAACTATCACCTGAAAAAAAATTACTCGAGACCACACTTACAACCAAGATGGCTGACTCAGACTAGTACGCCTTACGACACTAGACTACGTGACATGCGTTTGACTCTCGTGGACAAATGAACGCATGTGATCGTGCCATAATGTAGCTAAACAACCTGTGTAAACCACACAAAAAGCCACCCGTGCAATCAACAGATAGCGAGGATCCGGAAGTGGCCGACCGAACTGAGAAACAACCGAGGAGAAGTGAGCTCTCCAAAAGTAAAAGGATAGAAAGGGAGACAAATAAGAAATTCCTAAAAACCTCTCAAACTGTCAGCCTTTTGACTACTAAGTCAGCTCGCCATTATAGGGTCTCGAATTCATCCCAACACCCATGAAAAACGAACGTAAAACCAAACGAACTCTTGCTAGATTTATTCGCAAGATGAATGCGTCTCCACAACATCTTTCACAGACAAAACAAAGAGCCACATCCGTCTCATATCAAACTGAATGCCACCGGTTCAGCCTTTTGTTGCCCTTTAGAGCTACCCTATGAGATTACTATCCAAGTCATAAAAGAATTTGTAACGCAATAAAATAACGGCTCTCGAAGAGTTAAAAAAAACTTTGCATTAAACCTCACAAAAGCAGCACAACAGCAGTCATCAGTCATCAAAGTGCAACTCGACAGCGGAATTCACTTCAAACCTCTCAAAGCACCGATAGCAAAAAACACGCAGGAAAGGGTTTATGAGATCATTGACCAAGTGTATCGAGGCAAACACACTTCAATGGCATGACTGAGAAATGGCTTCAACAAACTCCCCAATCTGCCTGGATACACAGTCCACCCTTGCTGAAAACAATTTTCATATATTATCCGTTTATCTCTGAAAACTTAACGAAAAAATCACTGAGGACACGCTTGTGAGAGAAAAAAAAACGTGCAATTTGAAGGTGATAATGCAACGCGACTACAAGAGCCATATGGTGAGTCCGTGCCGGTCTGTCTATACCTTTGTTCTTATTCGTTTCAGGTGTGATCATTTGTGAGGTACTGCTGCCTGTACGTGCGATAACCCGTCTCCAGCACTCATATATCGAGGCAGGTTGTTTGAAAACCTGGATGTTTAGTAACTCATCTTGGCTTCAGGCTCTTGTTCCTTTACATTTCGCCACACTTGCCCGATTTCCGTTCAATGTTTTCAACACTGGCTGACAAATTCCATACTCGCATTATTGATAATTTTATATAAAACAACCCCAGAAGCTCATGTTTAGATTTTCAACTTACTTTATTAGGTTTTCATGCCGAATGAAAATAAATCACCCAATGGATTAAATACCAGTCTTTTTCTCGGTATCGCTGTCAACCAGTTTTGTGCTGCCTTCGTGCGGATCGTTCGATGAACCATACGCGGCTTAAGGACGTGGCCCAGACACTCTTAAAGGTTCTGAAGTATTCCCATTGCTGTCATATGAGTTTAAGGCATTCGAGTCCCTCTCTTCTGAAAAAACATCGTCCGAACTATCGCTACTCGCATGCACGAGCTGCCATATCAATTCTACTGAGGAAACCGTGTTGTGCATTGTTTTAGTTCCACCGCTTACGTCACGACCTCTCGCTGTTGTTTTCACCGGAAGTGGAATTTCAATTTAAAATACCGATTTTCTCCCTAAAAGAAGTCGAATTGGGCAAGACGAATTGCAAATTCATGTTCTAAAACACCTTTTACATAGTATAAGAAAAACATGTATTTTTGGGTTCACACGCCCTGTTCGGAAGCGAATCGGAAAATCCAAACAAACACTTTAATTCCAACACGGTAAACTGTAGACTCATGGTAAACGACAACGACCATTAAACAAAAGTGCTACTCGAAAACCTAAAAACTTTTCAACTCCCTCTAAAGAATCGCACACGTCAAAATTAAAAGGTCCTCGTGATTTGCTTACGATATAATTAGCCTACCTAGTCCCAAAGCACGCGCACGCGAGTCGCACGTGCACAAGTTCATTAACGTCTTCTTAACATTCCCCCTCCCCACCCTGGGAGGTAGTCCCAGCGTGTTTCCAACTAAGCAATTAACAGCGGAACCAGTTTGTTAATCGGTCTCATGACAGTCTTGACACCACACGTAACTTTAGCTACAAGGGTGTGGCCATCTCGTCCCGGATACACTTCAACAATCCATCCTAATGGCCAACGTCCTCTTGGGGTATCGGGCTGGATTACAAGGACCACATCCTCAACTTTTAGGTCTCGGCATTCTGAAGTCCACTTTGGTCGACTGTTAGGGGCTGGAACAACTTCCTTGAGCCATCTCCTCCACACTCGTGAAGTAATGTCTTGAACCTTTCGCCATCGTTGACGCGGATGCAAAGTAGTGGTTTCAACGGCCTCAGTAGCGAACTGTCTTCCCATTTGGCCGTGCAAGAAATGATTAGGTGTCAATGGGACATCGTCTCGTGGATCTGAACCCTGATAAGTCAACGGACGGGAATTAAGAAGGGACTCCACCCTTGCGAACACGGTGATTAACTCCTCGTCGTTCACGTCCCGTTCTCCAACAACGGCGTATGTGGCTTTCTTAGCAGCTTTCACCATTATTTCGTGGGTTCCTCCAAAATGTGGGGCAGCTGGTGGTTTGAATCTCCATGTCCCTCCAAGTTCGACTGTTTTGGTCTGAAGATGTTTTCGGTCTAACTGACGGACTAGTTTCTTTAACACGCTCACTGCACCCACGAAATTTGTGCCTCTGTCGCTTGTCACTTCTTTAAGAACTCCACGACGACTGGTAAAACGTGCGAAGGCGTTTCAGAACAGGTCGGTATCCAGTCCACAGGCCATCTCTAAATGCACTGCTCGTGTTTCCAAGCAAGCAAAAAGGCACAGCCACCTTTTCTGTTGTGGTTTTCCGCGTCCTTGAACAGTATAGAAAGGACCTACAAAATCTACGGCTGTTTGGGCGAAGGGTCTGAAGCTGAAATGGAGCCTCATTTGCGGGAGTGGGGCCATAATCTGACAAGCTGGCTTGTTTCGTTCTCTCTTACATTCGTTACATTCACGATCCCGCTGGTGAATCTCCTCGCGTGCGGCGATAATCCAAAATCTCTTACTCAACTGGAAAAGAGTGAAGTTTAGTCCAACAGCATGATTTCCTCTCTCATGATAGTGCTTCACGATAAGTTTCGTCACCCAGTGTCCACGAGGTAGAATGATTGGAAATCTGGTATCACATGGAAGAAAACCTGCGAACTTTAATCGGCCATCACTGCGGATAACTCCCTCGTCGTCAATGCACGGGTTAAGCTTTATCAACTGGCTTTTCTTTGGTATCGGTTTCCCTGAGCTCAAAGCTGTGTACTCGTCACAAAAGGCGTTGCGTTGTGCCAAGCGCACTATTTCTCCTTCAGCATCCTTCAATTCTTCGGGTAACAGTTCCATAGTTTCATTCCTGTTGTCTCTGTTGCGCATGTTTTGTAGTACTCTTCTCACTCTCGCGTGTACTCGAACCAAACGTGTCCAATTGAAAAACCGTTTCGGATCTAGTCTCCACTCTTTTAACGTGCAGCTTTGTTTCGATGCGGTTCCTTTCTGAAGATTACACGTCATAAGGGTTGCATATGCATTCATGTCTTCTTTCCTTTTCGAGTTTCTCATCTCTGGCATTTCACTAGGTCTGTCCGGGACTTTCGTCTTTGACCACTTACTGAAATCATCTGTCAGCCAGTCAGGACCACTCCACCACAAGGAACATTTGGCTAATTCTGAAGGCGTGACCCCTCTTGTACATAAATCGGCTGGATTCTCTTTGGTAGAGGTAGAGACATGCTGCCACTGTGACGGCACAGTGAACATCTGTATTTTACCAATTCGGTTGGTTACGAACGGTCGGAAGTCCTTGCCGTGTCCTCGAATCCACCATAGAACATCTGTACTGTCAGAGTGGAACGTCACGCTTTGCATTGGTACTTCTAAGGCTGTCAGCAACGACTGTGTTAAGCGTAGGCCAAAAAATCCCACCCATGAGTTCCAGTCTGGGTACTGTCATCGGGTTCAGTAGTGCAACTTTGCTCTTTGCTGCTATCAGGCGACTGGTTACAGTATCATTATCGTGTCCACAGCGGATATAGACTGCTGCACCATAAGCTTGTTGAGAGGCATCGACAAAAGTCACAATGTGCCTTGACTTGACGGGCTCTGACTTCGCAGACACCGAGGCATCGTCACCTCGTGCATACTTTTCAATTGCTCGAACCAAGTCTCGATTTTGTTGGCTATTTCATCTTGAACTTCGTCGTCCCAGGCTTAACCTCGCATCCACAATTCCTGGAGTAGAATCTTTGCCACAATAACGTACGGGCATACGAATCCCAGTGGGTCAAAAATCGTTGCTACTTTATGCAGGACGTTTCGCTTTGCTGTCTGAAATTCCGGGGAAACTGGAGAAGCGGTAGCGGTAAAAACGTCTTCAGTACTGTTCCACAAAATTCCCAGTGTCTTCGTTATCGGGTCTTGACCACTGTTAATCACGATCTCTGTGGCGCGTTCTTCTGATGGAATCGCCTCAATAACTTTCGGTGAATTAGAGATCCATTTCCTGGCTTTCATGCCGGCGACTCCCCATAATGCCTTCAATTGACGGTAAATCTCCACTCCTTTATCATCGTTTTCAACGCTGTCAGTAGAATCGTCCATGTAAGTTGACTTAAGGACGGTCTCAGCGGCAAGGGGATAACGGTCTTGGTTCCTTCGAGCGTTTTCCTGCGTGACGAACTGCGACTCCATAGGGGCTGAATTCTTCCCAAAAACTGCACGGTTAAACTCGAATACATCTGGCTCTCGGTTAGGGTCAAGATCTCTCCACAACAGTCGGTAGTGGGATCGGTCTTCCTCCTCAATCTCTATCCGGAGATACATTTCTTTGATGTCGCAGGCGATGCCAACAGGGTTTCGACGGAAACGGACGAGGACTTTGAAAAAATCTTGTAGTAATTTCGGCCCAGGATGAATCATGTCATTTAAGGAAGTACCATTACATTTAGCGGCACAGTCAAATAAGATTCGCACTTTTGTTGTCGATTTATCCATTCTCACGACCGGAAAATGCGGCAAATACCATACGTTAGCTGGCAGCTGTTCGTTTGAGGGAACCTTTCGTAAATATCCTTTACCAACATAGGCCTGGTTGGTTGCTTGATATTCTTCGAAGACACGGCTGTTCTTCAAATTTCTTTCGGTGCTTCGTAGTCGAGACAGTGCCATAGGTTTAGTGTCAGGGAGATCGAGTTTGTTTTCTTTCCAAGGAACGGCTACACGATACCTTCCATTTTTGTACTTTAGGGAATCTTTCACTTTGCTTAAAGCTAGTCTTTGTTCTTCGGTGAGTACGAGTCTGTCATCGCAGTCTGTGTCAGACTTCTCAATTTCCCAGAATCTCTTTAAGCTGTTGTCGACATCACAACAGGACTCTTTTCTCTCGCTCCAAATTGGCTCTCTAGTGAACAAGGAACGAATAACGTGGGATCGTGTCCTCGCGGTTTCGCTTTCGTCAGGCGCATCTATACAACTCCACCCAAGTGGTCCGAGGCGGGCGAGAGGTCCACCAAGTTTTCCTTGGAGATCAACATGTGAATAATGGAGTTCAGCGTTATCAATGCCAATCAAAAGATCGACAAGTCCATCCATCATTTGCCGGCTTGGGAAAACTGCACTGGGTCAGGTGAGGCCATTTATCCTGATGTTTGTTCCAGTTCACAGCTCTGTAACTACCAGTGACTTTCTGAGGACATGTTTTAACCCCGATTTCCTTTGACAACCTGCCATCCACACTTTCGATTTCAATTTTTAATGGCATGGACTGAAACGTTTCGACGGTGTCGTTGAGAACATGAACTTAAACTTTTTTGAAAGACTCTTGTAGTCCAAGTATCCCAGTAACCTCTTCATTTAGGAAAGTTTCGTTCGATGCGTCGTCTAGAATGGCGTTTATTTTT